TTTTTTTTTTTTTTTTTTTTTGATGATTCCTGTGCGACGTTGTGCTTTCCCGTGTGGATGTGTAGCCGAACCGTACTCACTGACACTAGGCTCCTTGCTCCTCAAGTGTGTGGGTAGGACCCATGGGTTTGGGAAACGTACACTATTTATGGTCCTTCCTCCCAGTGCATCTGTCCACTTTTGCTAAATTTCAATAAAATTATTTGTAGAGCCCGCAAGTCCAAGAGCTGTCTTACTGGGGAGGGCAGGTGGGCGAGCGGCTGTGCCCGTGGGTGGAGGAAGGAGATGCTGGAGAGCCGAGGGGAGCTGGGCTTTGCCATGCCGGTCTGTTTGCTGCCGGCGCTTCGAGCCCCCTGTTTTTTTGGGAGGGGGGTGTTTGTGCACGCGTGACTGAACTGGTGGTGAAGGAGCCGTGAGTCACGGCCATTTCCAGGTGCTCCAGTTTGGCACATGGCGCTGGCAGGAGTTGGTGGCTTTGTCGGGCTGTGACTCTCCTTGTAGCTGCCATGACATCCTTTAAATACATAACTAAAATGAGTTTATAAAAATACATGTAATTTTCGTCTTCAGCCCAATAGGGTTGGAGCTCAGGCCCCTCTCCCCTCCCATGTGGGGTGGGAGGTCTGGAGGGACCTGGGCGTCGCGGGCAGCCCAGCCTCAAGCCGACCTCTTCCCATCCCTCCGCCCGGGCCCCGCGGGGGGCAGGATCCGCCTGTCCGCTCCTTCATCGCCTGCCCTGCCAAATCAGTGCCTCATTAATCACCGGGGCCTGATGACTTTCTCGAACCCGGTGTGACCCCATGCCGGGATGCCGCCCGTCCCCTGAGCAGTGCCGGCTGTCCGTGGGGCAAGCGTGATCTCACTTTGTACCCCGCGTCCTGCCCCCGGCCGCCCTGCAAATGTTTTCCTGCGGCCGCAGCCACCTCTCATCATTTCCTCCGCGCAAGCCGGCTCGGAAACGAGCCGCTGACGAAAGCTGTAACGAGAGTGAGTGGTGCGGCGTGTCCTGCCAGGGCTTCGGCTTGCGGGGGACGACGCTCTGAGACTTTTGCCCATTGATCCGTAGGGGCCCCAACCCCAGGAGGGATGGATTGCGGTGGCCTCGAGGGGGACTGGGTGGCTGCCCAGGGCGTTACGGCTCGG